GCGCACAAGGGCGCAGGCGCCGCGGTGGCGGCGGCCGCGGGACGGCCTGGCGCCTCCATTTTGCCTCGCGCGCGGTAATGGCGGAGCTGGGCGCCCTTGCCCCCGCGCGGAGGGGCGAGCTCGCCTCCGGGCAAGCCCGAGGCCTTCTCCCACATTCCTCCGTCCGCGCTCCTGAGCGCGGAAGCAAGGTGACATACCTCTTGAGAAAGTTTTGGAATGTGATTCCGAGTTTTTCCTAAAGAAAAGGCAAATTACTTCTATAGTTTGCAGCTTGCTGCTTCGCATTGGGATGTGGTTTTGGGGGAGGGGTGAGGACGCTGATGCAAGAAAAGTAAAGTTTTTCATTGCAGACGTCCATCAAAAGCAATAAAGCATTTAGTTTATTTTAAAAAGTACATGGTAGGTAATTTCAAAGAAAATGATAACAGGCATTCACTGAATATTATATGCCGGACCCTTTTTTAAGTGCTTTAATTTTCATAACCAGTTACAGATAGAGAAACAAGTACAGAAAGGTTAAGTACACAAAAGTGCTTAAAGTACAGGAAAGCGGGAAAAGTAAACCTACTTTCCAAGACAACCACGACTTAATAAACTGGCATGGTTCCAGCCAGGGTTTTCCTGTGCGTTAAGTGTGGTTCATGTTATACATGCGACCCGAGGCATTTTTTTGATTAACTGGGAGAGCTGTGGTCGGGCCAGTCGGAACATCTCACAGCAGGCCTGGAGGAGCCGCGGAAGTGCCCGGAAGTGAAGTGCCGGTCCGCGCCGTCCCGGGGGCAGCTTCGTCCCGTGCACTAGGTGATGTCCGAGGAGCACCCCAGCTCTAGAATGTTGGCAGCTGGTGACCCAGGAGAAGTCATATGACTCATGATCATTTCGGGGGGTTGGGAGGAAAAGCCTTATTCCTTTCTCCCCTCTAAAAAAGGTCATAACTGCCTTATTTTAGTTTCCCAAGCTCCTTTGTGCTACGAGGAACTTATTTTCGCAGATCAGAGTAGTCAGTTCCAGGTAGAGAGGGCAGGGCAGGAAGGAGTCCTCATTTGCAGATGAAGCAGCTGAGATTTAGGGATGTAAGGCTTGATGAAGTGCATGGATTAATAGTGGAGCGGAGGTGCTTCATCTGGATGGAGGCAGCTGCTTGACAACCTCGGTCTCCAAGCCCTTGGCTTCCTTCCATAGGATCTGTAATTATGTCCATGCTTATTTGTTGTTTTGGTTTTTTTTTTAATGTCTCAAGATGGAGGGTATCCCAAAACCCAGCTGATAAATGGTAGGTGCTTCTCTTATATGGAGAAAGAATTCTAAACAGGTGAGGGGGATGCAGCCAACACATTCCTCACTCTCATTCCTTATTAATCCTTTAAAGACTCACCTGTTTATCAAAATCCTTTTTATCCGTTTTTAGTTTACTCATGTAAAGCAGCCTACCTGTCCTTTGGTTTCGTTTATTGCGATATGAATTTGGTTTTTCTTTTTTACCAAGTAGCATAATGCCTATTTTATTAATTATTGCTTCATTAATATGAAGAAAAACTAATGCTTTTAATATGAGAAGTGGAAAAGGTAGGAAATGGAACCAGAATATGATTTCAGGTCTCACACACAGAGATATCCAGTCCATTTGTTCTCTTTCTTTATTAAATCACAAATGCCTAATAAGCATTTGTGATTTCTAGAAAATCAGAAAAGTTCCAGCAACTGTGAAACGCTTTCTAGATAATTGCCTTTTCTTAAATTTTCTACAAGAAAGTACTTTAACATTCACTAGCTTGTGGCTTTGCCAAGTTACTTAACTCCTGATTCTGTCTTCTCATCTGTAAAATGTGGATAATATATCCTGGCAGAGTGTGGGAGGAGGGGGATTGATTGGAGATTATATTTGTAAGGTGCCTGGACCATAGAACATAGTAGATGTTCAATAAGAAGTGGCAGCAATCATGTTTCGTTGCTTTTCTATATTTAAAAAGTAGCAGGATCAACTAGCTGGTTGCCTAGAGAAAATATGAATACAGCTCCCTGCAGATCACAGTCGTGTGCCCAGTAACACCCCAAACGACATCCAGGACTGCTTAAAACTTTTAAGGAAGGGAAAGTTTTTTAATTTACTTGAGAAACAAGTCAAGTGCTTGCCTGATGCATCAGGCACATGCATTATCTAGCGTAAATAAAGGGCTTATGTGAAATGGACCTATGTAAGGTCCCCTTTTATCTTTGAGAGGGCCTGAAAGATGGGGCTGGATGGCTACTGGGGCCCTGATGGGAAGAAGCTCTGCCCTCTCAAAGCAGCAGGGCCCTGAGAAAGCCACAGAGTTCTCTCTGTGCTTATGCCCCGCATTCTCTTTCAGAAGATGTGTAAGTGCTGCCTATGTCGGGGTGCTGGTGGCAGAGGGGAGAATAGTGAATAAGACAGCCCATCCCTGCCCTCAAGGAGGATGCCAGGCTCTGAGCCAATTACCAGGATGGTGAGTGTAGGGTGGTAGGGTGCCATATGGTAGCAGTGGACCTGACTTAGCCAGAAGACCAGGGAGGCTTCCTGGAGGCAGTGACGCTTCAGCTGAGCCCAGCATTCTCATAGACTCAGGAGGGAAAAGGCACATCAAAGCTGAAAAACTAAAGAATTCCAAAAAGGCTGGGCATGGGAGCTTAGGGGCCAGGAGTGAAGACACAGAAAGGAGCCAGACCACGGAGATTTCTATAGGACGGGGGAGAAGGAAAAAAATCTTTCCTCTGCCCATCTTAGGTTCTCTGCCTGGGGCCATATAAATTAGACTAACAAAAGACAGATTACCAAGAGAAAAACAGAAGTTCATTAAAATGCACATCACACACATGGGAGCACCCAGTGATGAGTAACTCAAAGGGGTGGTTAGAACTTGGGCTTATTATAGCATCTTAACAAAAGAACAATACATTTTTAGAGAAGGGATCAGACAAAGGAAAAGGACTTGGATATCCAGGGTGGCAAAGTATGCGAAGGTAAATGGGGGGGGGCGGGGAACTAATGGTAGGTGGGGCTAGTTTTAGCAAGGTTTGTTATGTAGTTTCCTCCCATGCCATCTCCAGGCTGGTGAGGATTTAGAGTATCTCTGGTGATTAACTTCTGCCCTTCCCTGTAGAGAGGGGAAGGGGAATACTTCTGTAAATTTATGTCCTGCTTTTAGGCAAATAGAAGGAGGGCAGAGAGTTTTTCTTGTATCTGCTTCTTCTCAGTTGCCTTCAGCTCAGAATAATCCTTATGCCTAAGTAGCATACGTGGGAGTGGTATAGTCTGCTATCCTTCACTAGCTTTGGTTTACTAGAATTAAATATTTTTTTCCTTAGACCAGATTGTTGAAACTCCTCAAAAGACTTTTTATTTATTTTTTGAGATGTAACTCACATACCATAAAATTTACCCCTTTAAAAGTACGTAACTCAGTAGTTTTTGATATATTTACAAAGTTGAGCAAACATCACCACAAATTCCAGAACATTTCATCACCTCGAAAAGAAACTCTGGACTCGGTAGTAGTCACTGCCCGTTTGCCCCTCTCCTTCGCCCCATTCGTAACCTTCTTTCTGTCTCTGGATTGGCCTATTCTGGACAGTTCATATAAATGGAATGTACAACACGTGCTCACTGTGTCTGGCTTCTCTCACTTAGCATGTGTTTTTAAGTTCAAGGTTGTAGCAGGTATCAGCGTTCCATTCCTTTTTATGGCTGAATAATATTCCATGGTGTGGATAGGCCTCGTGAGAAGAAGAGTCTTGTATCTGTGAAGGGGATGTGGCTCGGGGCTCGGCCACAGTGTGAGAAGCACGGTGCCTGCAGTATGAGTGGGCTGCTGGGCTCTCCCCTTGCTGGCTTTGCGACCCGGGCAAATGACTCTATAATTCATTTTCCTCTCATATGTGAGGGTAGTAATAGCAATTCTCTAGGATTGAAGTGAATGAGTTAGTACATTTAAAGGGCTTGGAAAAGTGCCTGGTCAAAGGGCCAGTCGTTAACTCTGGAGAACAAAAGGCTGGCAGATGCAGAACTCCCTACAGACTACATAGTGAGCTCACAGACCTTTATTCCAGAACCTTCCGAATGGCTACATGGCTCCTTTCTAAAATGGGATGGATTACAATCACATCTGTCTGTAAGTAGGGAATGAATTGAAGATAGCGGTTTCTACACCTTTCTTAGGCATTTAAGATTTCGTAGTTCTGCCGACTTCCCAATTTGTTGGGATGACGAACCAATGAAGAGAGATATATATTTCTCTCTTCTACCTTGAGAACAAATGGCTTTGATTTTTTTTTAAATTTATGTAAAATGTCAACATACAATAAAGTAGAAGAGTATGATTCCCCATTTACCTCAACATTTATTCTCATTTTTTGATTCTTGACGGATGGCTTTTGTTTCGCTGCTGGATGAGGGAGACACACCCAATAGGTAGGACCCGAAGGGGAGCAGAATTTACTACCCCAAACATTTGGCATGAGGCGTATTTGAGCTAAAGGCAATCAAATCCCAACAGATTCAGGAAAAGCTCATTACCTCCCCCTCAACAAACTAAATTTACATTGGAAAGGGGCCAGTACAGGAGGAGAGCTATTGCCAGAGATACCTTTTACCTAAGAAGCTTATCTACGTAACACGTAACACAGCAACCTTTGTTTTCCAAACTTCTCCTCTGCCTTCCTGTGAAAGTTTGCCTTCCTCCCCAGTGTTTCCCCAGACTCCGACCCCTTAGCTCGGAATGTCACATAAGCTTCAATTACCTGTCTGCCCTTTGGGTCTCATTTTTGTGGGGATCCCCTATATACAAAATTAGATTTGTTTTTCTTCTGTTACTGTCTTATATTAATTTGATTATTAGACCAGCCAAAGAACCTAAAGGTTAATTTTTCCTCCCTTACAGAACCATCTTGCAAAGAGGACCCGGGCAAACTGGTTTGATGGGCAGATTGAGAAATGTATACTTGCCTAGGCAGCAGAGGCACTTCCTGGAGGGTAGGGATGGGGCAGAATGGCTGCGCTCCCCCCCTCTCTCCAGATCACTTGGTGGGGCCAGGCATGGGATGACAAGGCTCACTCTGGGGAGCTGGCACTAGTGGCATGATGGAATTGTCTCCAAACACTGCCAGTCTTGAGAGAAGTGACACCAGTGTCCACCAGAAGTAAGAGCCAGGGAAGTCTAGCTCATATTTAGAGTACCAGGAACTATCTGCAGCCACATTTTAATGAACTTTGAAAGGCTGTGGAAATCCAAAGGAGCAGGCTCAGGAGGGTAGGGGGCTCTCTAGGTCAAGTACTTCACACCCTCTCTACTCAAGTGAAGCAGTGGTAGGGATCTAGGACTTCAAAGGGGAGGAAGCCCATCCTTAGGAAGATGGGAAGAGCAAACGTTTGGTAAACAAATGTTTGCCATGTCTGCAGAGACAGGGAACACAGAGAGAAGCCTGATGTCTAGGCACTGCCTAGCTTCCCTCAGCCCACCACACCTGCCCCATACTCTTCGTACTTATCTCTGGTGATAGTTCTCTTCCTTGGTCAGGCTCTCTAGTAGCAGGCTCTCTTTTAGGCAGTTAAAATAGAGGTAAAAGTTTTTCTTGAGTCTGTTGGGTCTCCGTGACCTTCAGCTCAAATTAGTCCACATGCCAAAGTGGCACATTTTTGGGAAGCTCGTTCTGAACCCCTTCGAAATGAAATGGGGTGACCTTGGAGGGGAGATAAAGGAATGAGAAGGGAGGGGAGCCCTCACTTATTCTCTCAGCTGTCCCCAAATTTTCTTTTGTCGCTGGGAGGCCTGGAAATGTCAGGTGGGGCATCCATCCTTACAAACATCACACCAATTTCCGCCAAGACAATGTGTCCCAGACCAGTCCCCAAGCCTCCCTCTACCTCCCCTGCCCCTGCTATGCCTTCCAGGTCTCTCACTAACTTCAAATGGAAAAAGTAAACACTGGTTTGGGGTGATGGTCTAGAAATCCATCCTTTCTTCCTAGCTTGGTGCCTCTTCAAGACTGTCACCCCTCAAATCTGTAGCCTGCACTTAAGGTTCTGGGAGCAGGTGAACTTGGATGGGAAAAATTTATACGTCTATTTTCCCTAATCTTTGATTGAAATCTGGCATTTCCTTCCACTGTGTGCGTAGGCATCACGCCACAGTATTATATAGGCAGTGCCTGGGACTCTGTCACCAGTAGAAGTCACAGCTATTTTTATATCATACCACAGTTGTTGCAGATATTTTGAATATCATCTACCCTCATGTGGAGGAGGAAAAATAATTTTCTTTCTACCCTGCTAAATTCTTCGGGCTGGTCTAATGATCAAATTGACACGAGACAGGTTAACAGGAGAAAATGACCAAATTTATTATATATGTATATACGGGGCTCCATAGGAAAATGAGACCCTAGGACAAATCAAGCAGTTGAGGTTTATATGCTACCTTGAGCCAAAGAGAAGGGGTGAAGTGGTTGTGGTTTGGGACTTCAAAGGGCAGGAAGCAATTCGCATGGAGATGGAAAAGCAAATGTTTGGGAAACGAATGTTTGCTAGGCCATCTTTAACAAGGGGATGCAGAGAGAACTTCCATCAGCTGGGTCTTGCTAGGTTTCTCCTTGTCTATCACACACACTGGTTCATCTTAAACTATAATTATCTTTGATGATAGCTCCCTTCCTGGAGCAGGCCCTCTATCTAAATTCTTTTAGGCAGTTAGAGGGGAGGTCAAAGGTTCTTCTTGAGTCTTTTGTTTCTTGAAAATAAATAGCTTAAAATAATATCCCAAAGGCATATTTTGGGGTGGCAAACTCTGCTCCCCCTCACTCATCATGACTTCAAAATCATAGTAGTTATCAGGCCTACTATTTATTAATGTATTAAATCAGAATCTGGTCCTGATTTGTTGTATTAATATAGAATTACCAACCACACATGGCAATTGTATTTCAAAATAATTTGCTTCCTTTGTAATCCCGGGTACTTTATGCATTTAAAAACCTCACTCTGAGAAGGGTGCAGAGGCCTCACCAGACTCCAGAGGGGCCTGAAGCACAGAGAAGATGAAGAAGCCTGCCCAGGGTGTCCCTGCCCTCACAATCACACTGCCAGCCCTCTCTTGGTGTGCGGTGTGTGGCTAGCACCCTTCCTCGGAAGGCCGACCACCCGCTACCACCAGCTGGGGTCGATGGCTTATGGTCCTTCTGTTCCTTCTGGGAACATTATGAGGTGTAAGTGAAGATACGGACCATGTCCCAGACTCTTGCCAGAGGACCCTGTGTGCCGATCCCACTTGTACCTGGTCCCTTGCCAGAGTCCCTCAGGCCCCGGGCTGTGGACGTGCAGTTCTGCCTGGCCCGTGATGAGGACGTGGGAGCGGGTTATTGGCAGAGCACAGAGCTGGGTGGTAGAGCTAGAGGCAGAAGCATCTGCAGTTTAATATTAGGGCAAATGCATTTTTTAAAGCAAATGGTTCCTTGAATTGATACATGAGCACATGCAACATCGTTCAAAATTTGAAAAGAGAACGCGGTGAAAAGTTTTATCTCCCTCCCTGTCCCTCAGCCTCAAACTTTACCAGCGTCTCTTTCTTTCCAGAGCTGTTTGCCACATTTACAACCCAAACGAATGTGGATCCCTGTCCTTTATTACTTAAAATATTAAGACGTTAGGCACCTGGTCTGCACCTGGCTTTTTTAATTTAACAATATTTTCTTGGAAATTGCTCCTTATCTACGTGCAAATAGCTTCTTTGTTCTTTTCCTTTTATTTATTTCCCTAGTCATTTCGAAGCAGTGTGTTGAAAAAGAATGCCTTTCCGCAGAAACAGGAGTACCTAGACAGAGCCAGAAGTTTTAGGATAACTGTCGGATTCATTTACTCATGTCCAAAATTCCAGGGGTACCGAGTTAAATAATTCTGTGTTCCTCTTTAGGTGGCTTTGCATTTCAAAAGCGGCCTCACGGGACCATAGGGCCTTAATCCGAAAAATGACTACGTGGCAAAATTTTGGGCAGAGAGGTCAGAGATGTGCTGGTCTTTGGGTAGAAGACTTTATCTGGGGTGTCCCCAAATCCGGGATCTCTGTCTATCCACAGATAGATATCCACTTTACCCTTCCAAGCTGACCTTGGGGGCTCTTTACAATAAATGACTCCCTCTTAATGTTGAACCCTCCTGCAACCAACCAGCTCTCCTGCCCAGCTTCTCTTACCAGAGGTGTCCGTCAGGCCAGCAGCCATTGGCCAGTGACACCTCAGAAAGATGCCGATAGGTCAGAAGGGTTCTGACTGCCCCCTGGAGCTCCGCAGGGGCGGGCTGTGTGGGCGGATTCCTTCTCCCCCACTCAGAGCAGTGCCAAGTTGATCAGTGTTTCCATGTCATGCTTTGAATAACTTTGAGCTGAAGAATACGTGCTTTGTCCTAACAATCTGCATGGCCAGCAGGGGCCTTCTTCTCATGGACATCCGACTCTTTCATCACTTTGGGCCACTGAGATACACTGACAGAGGCCAGGCCCACCCAGCAGCCTCCCCAGTGCAGTGCAGTTTCCTGTCAAACACACGGTGGGGGAGGAGACAGTCCAGACCTGCCAAGGTGAGCATCTTGTTGGCCAGACAGGCTTCTCTGTAAAATAAGAAGATAGCATTCTGGTTTTTATATCAGTGCTTGAGGAGTTTTTTTTTACTGTGAGTCAGTCCTGCCGAAAGGGTTGCCCCCTGGCCCCCAGAGCTCAGGGCTACACTATGACCCATGGTGAATTCCACAGAGTAAGTGCCCACGTGCCCTCTGTGGCCAGCCAACCTGCTGCTTAGGGCAGTGGCCCTTTCTGGCGGGACCCTTCCTTCAGCTGGAAGCATGTTGATGAGGCTGAGGGAGCATATGCCAGGTACGTTAGCTTTGCGTGAAAGAAACTCAGCTGCAGAATTATAGTGTCCTCCGGTGCACAGTGACCAGGTGAAGAAAACTTAGCACAAATCCATCTTGACTACCACTGTCTGGTCAGGGGGCAGCAGCTCCCCTCCTGCCTGAAGGATGGCTCCACCAGTGTTTCTCCCTTTAGACTGAATTTGGCATTGACTGAGAAGACCTTTTTCTCCACCCTCTTATGTTCAGTACTTGGGAGCCTGCAAATTAACTGGCAAAATACAGATTAGCAAGAGAAAAGACAGATTTCTTTATTCACATACATGCATGGGAGTTCACAGAACACTGTGACTCAAGGTCATGAGGATAAGATTAGATAATGCTCATCAAGCACGTAATACAGTGCCTGGCGCATAGCAAGTGTTCAGTTAAAAAGCCAGCGTCTCTAGGTGCTGGGGATACAGCAGTGAGCAGATCCAAGTGCCTGCTCCCCTGGGTCTTCTGGAGAATCAGGGAGATGTTATTATATTGATCCCCCCCGCATGTCCCCTTAGCACTTTCCCCACTGCATTTAATCGGTCCTTTTCTTGTCCGAATTTCCACTGAGCAGTAAATGAACGAGCCTGAGTCAGTTCCCATCGCAGTCGCTCACGTGGCCGACTCTCCACCGAGGCCTGTGGTACAAACACGTTTCAGGGCGTGTATACAGGGGTCCCAGGTTTGGAAATATGAGTTGGGGTGGTGGATGTTTCTGGCTCTGATCTTTCTTCCATTCTTCTCTTCATCACAATCCCACGGCTCCACGAAACAGTCATTAGAACATAGTTTGCCTCTGGGAGAGAGCTCACTACACATTCCACCCCTGGACCCACGAGTCGCGCTTGGGGAGACTGGCCAGCTGTAGGGCTACGGGTGAGGCCAGCTGCGAGGACCAGAATAGAAGGTCTAAATTTAAACCGAGTCTGGAGGCTCTGGGAGCCAGGGGCCTGTGGGCCCTGGGGTGGCTCCCTTCCAGGGGGGCCTTCCCGTGGCGAGGCCCTCCTCCCGCCTCCCTCCGCACCTCCAGGAGTGGAAACTGTTTCATTTCTGGCTCCGAGAGCCGGTTTCCTCCCAAGGAAATATTGTCTCACCGCAGCAAGGCGGGATCTGGCCTGGAATTTCCCCGCCATGGAGAAACCCGGCCTTGGGAGCCACTCAGAGAGGGGACACGCCTAGAGCCTGCATGTGCAAACCCGGAGCGGACACGCCCAGAGACGCACACAGATGTAAACAGAAACAGAAACAGAGAGGCCGGGAAAACCCTCCGGGGACCCTCAGGAGCCCGTTCTGGGTTCTCGGCCCAGCTCTGTCTGCACCTCCCTGTGCGAAGGCGCGAACGAATCTCTCCTTAAAGAATCCATTTCTTCACCTCTACGGTATTAAAACAGATCTCTTAAAAATCCAGGTAGAACAGAAGTCTAAGGAATCAGCCTAGAAAGTTCTCTATTTCAACAATTTTGCTTTCGTCGTTCAAAATGTTTTAGTCTTTTTATTTTTTTTTCTGAAAAACTCCTTTCAGAACCAATTTTAGGCACTCACAGGTCTGCCTTGTTACAGTCCCAGACGTTTCCTTTGTGCCTAGAAGGATCACTGTCTGTGGTTCCAGGAGACTTTGGGCTGCTTCCAAATATCGAATTCAAAAGATCCCCGTGAAGATGGTGAGAAGTGTCTGGCCCGCGCCATCACCTGATGCCCACAGCCAGCCCCCAGAGAGGGACAGTGCTCCTGGAAGGGCCAGTTCCACCCTCGGCCACCAGCGGGTCTTGCTAGAGCCTTGAATAGTCCAACACTCAGACACAGAGAGGTCAGCCCACCATTGGTCACATGGAAACTTCCAGTTTCAGCCACAGCCTCCCGCGGCAGTGTCTGGGAGAGTTCCAGCAAGGCTGTGTTTGTGCTTTTGTGCATGTATTCACTGCGATTAGAGGACAGGGCTGTCACAGACCTGAGCACGTGGGGACAGTCACAGCCCAGAAGCCGGCACGCACACAGACTGTGCCCACAGACATTAGCAGGAGAGCGAGTGCTGAGGGGACACACCCAGACACACTGCGTTGCCTAGCAACGCAGAATGCGGGCCCTGGGTCGCACTCAGGCTGTTTTCATAAGGGCAGAATCGCAGGAAACAGGCTGCCCAAAGCAGACCATCTTGTCCTGCGAGTATGTCCACCAGGAAAAGCCTTCAAGTCAGAAACGGCTGTTTAACTACAGAGCCTGCTCATCCACACCCCAAAATGCTCACCGGGATTTAGATAGTGCAAAGCTGGCCCCGCAAATTTCCAGTCACATCTCGGTGACACATACACTCTTGTGAGGGGCAAGTCTAGACCCCTTATCTCCTTTTGTTTCCTCTCTGAAACCTTTTGACTTTTCCATTGTGATCAGCCAGTGACCAAACAATCTATTTCTGTAACTTAGTATTAACCAAAGATTGTTCTTTTGAAATGTCTATAGTGAGTTACAAAGAATGCCTCTGACCTTTGTTTTCAAATTCCACAATGCAAACACTAAACACACAATGTGAAAATTTAGAGGATAATTTTTAAATTTCACAGATAAACCATGCGGGAGGTTTTTTTTCAACTTTTGGATGTAGGAGAAAGACGGGTTTACCAACTTTTCAATGATTCTCAAAATTCCTTGGTAAACAGGAACACAAAGGCAGCTTTGGAGTCTTTGAAAGTGTAGAAAGAAAAACAAGAAAGACTCCTTCTGGGCAGCGCCTCTCACTTCTTGGGGATGAGTATAAACTGAGGGCTGGACCTCGGTCTAGTGTTGCTCTGTGACTTTGTGATTAGGCAGAACTTCCAGAGTGGTGTTTAGATTGCCTGTCTAGTGGACAGCTGTGATCTCAGCGGGGTTCAGGGGCAGCCCCCGTGCGTAGGTCCTGTCCCCTTCTCCATGTTTCACACACTGTGTTGGTTTTGGATGAGATAATCTGGTCTCGCTGGCCACGGCAGGCTTCCCTCCTGTCCTATCATCAGACAGCACGATCTGGAGACACCTTTCACCTACACACTGGGTCTGGCCCGGTCCTTCCCTGTTATGCAGGTTCCTCTGCCCTCTGTCCCTTTTCTTCCTTCTCCCTCCCTCGCCCCCCCCCTCCCTTCTCTTTCCTTCTCCCTCCCTCAGTCCCTCCCTTCCTCCTTCACCAACAGAGGTTCCAGCTTGAACCTGGAGTAGCTTCCTTTAGTGAACTGGGGCCTCACATACTCAACCTGTCCTCCTGGAGATTAAATTCTTTCCATCTTCACCAAAATTCCTTTCTATTCTTACTGTTCATACCTGAAAAGATTAATCGATGCCTCACCCAAGACAGAAATAAACAAAAAAGGCTACTAGATTAATTTTTGAATGAAAAATTTCTATATGTCAAAAACCACAAACAAAACAAACAAAACAAAAAGACAAACTTAGAAAATATATTTTGCAAAAAAATAAGGCGACGGAGGCAAATATCCTTAATCTCAAAAGGCTTTTATAAAGTACAGGAAGCCAAAGAGAAAGATGGAGGATGTGAATAGGCAGATTAATTAAAACAATGAAACAAATGGTTAATAAAAATTACAGCGGATCAGGCATATTCTGAGCTAGGGAGAGTCCGGGGGTTAACTCAGCCCCTCCCTGGCCCTGCGGCCCAAGGAGAGGAACTTCCCCTTCGGTTTCCTGTTCCGAGGTGTATGGGACCTTGGGCTGAGTGAGACCCGGGCGATGGGAAAGGACACGGTGGAGAGAAGTTGACAGAGGAGGAGGCAGCAGGCTCCCAGGAAGGAGCTGTGAGGTTGGATTACAGGTTACTGGAGCCTCGATGCTGAGCCTGACCTCTGGGGTGAGAAGTCCTTTATAGGAGGGGGCGGGGTTGGCAGATGCATCAGGATCTCCCGTGCTCTACCCCCCTATCGCTTACCCTGTTGTCACCTTGGCGTTGGGCTGTCCCAGGCCTTCCCAGGGGAAAGATTTCTTGAGACCTTCACACCATTGCCACAAGGAAAGGTGACCTGGAGAATACCCTTTTATGGGAAAGCTTGCACATCACCTGAACTTTCACTGAGTTCACGCTTCCTTTTACTGTCTTCCAGGTCCCTAAAGTGGCTCAGGGGTCTCCTGCGACCCTCTCCCCAGCAGGACACATGCATCCTCAAGGCAGCCGTGAGAGCAGATGTACCCTGGCCTAGGGCTCCAGCCGTTTCCCATCACCCCTAACTCGGACACTTGCCTGCAGTGCGGCTGCCTCTGGAGCACCCCAAGTCCCTGTGACAAAGCCCAGCTCTGGGGGTGCCGGGGCTCTCTTTTCCATCACCCTTTGTGCCCCCCCCACCCTCACCCCCACCCCGAGTCAGTCATTTCCTCTTTTCCTAAGATGTCCCTCGGTCCTGCCTTTTCTCTTCCCCTCACCCTGGCCTTCTCTCTTAGGGCCTCTGGAGAGTTGCCTGGCGGCTCAGAAACGCGGTCACGCTGAGTACAATCTAGTTTCCTTCGAAGTGACACAACCACTTCCATTCTCTTATTCTGTCCTAGAAGTGTTCACAGTTTTTTTTTAGCCATTAATCCAGGTTTTTGGCTGCTCTGCTTGAAGAACAGAAATGCTGAGCGGCCCTGGTTGGAGCACGGGGGGGGCGGTGGGGGGTTGTGTTGAGACCCGGAGCCCTTCTCACGTGGCGGCCCCCCTCCCGCACCCAGCCCCCAGCAGAATCCTTACGCAGGTGGACCCATTACCTGGTTACCCATCAGAATCATCTGGGGTAACTTTAAACAAATGGGAATTCCTGAGCCTCCAGCAAACCTTCCTAACTCAGACTCTGTGTGTGGGGTGGGGGTGGGGCCTGCTCAGCTAAACAAGCCTCCCAGAGACTCTGGAGCAGCTGGGCCGAGTGACTTCAGCTGCCATTTCCTCTCACAAGGGCCTGGCTCTGGCCTTGGGGTTCTCGCTGCCTTCAAGACCTGCCACACCTTCTCTTTACCCCCTCAGCTCTTCCCTCTGATGCGCCTTCACCCCATCGAGTCCCACCCCAGCCCACCCTTCTGCGAATCCTGTACCTCCCTGGCCCTTCTCTGAACTACTCTGCTGTCGGTGTTGCTCATCGGGTCTAATTAAGTTTATTTTTAATTTCACAAGTAATGTAGAAATACCTCTTTATTGTAAAACAATTCATATGATCGATGGAGTGAAGCCCCTTGATTCTCCCTTGTCCCCCGCTCCCATACCGGGGTAACTCCCGGACAGGTGGGGCACCCCTCCAGACCTTGTCCGTGTAGTTTCTCGATCTGGAAAAAGAAGAACCATCTTTCCCCGTGCCCAAGACCACTCCTCTTGGCCCGCGCTGTGCTTCGGACCCTGCAGCCACCCCCAGAGCCTGCGCCCTGGCCCGCGCCTGTCTCTCCGGCTTCTCCCGGGGCCTCTGTGCGTGTGGGCGTGTACGCACACATACATGTTTCTCTTCCTGCGAATATCTGTCAGGATCCTCACGTGCCCTTTACTCCCTCTCCTGTCAGTCTGCAAGCCCCACTTCTTCAACACAGGGGCTCCCTGCCTGACGACTTCCCACTTGCAATGGCTCAGATCTGAGGCCACTCTCTCCTGCTCACCCTCCCTGGGGGGCCGGGGAACAGAGTGCAGGGGGAGAAGGGGGTGCAGGCCCCACTAGGCATAATGCTGCCCCTCCCCCTACAGCAGAAACGCTCTGGCCTGGGAAGTGGGCGTGAACTCCCAACATCTAGACTCTCCGCTCCCAAGCGGAGCCCCTGGACTCTGGCCTGCCCCCCGAACTGTCTCTCTGGCCTCTTCGGGAGGTAGACGAAGGGGCCCGAGTGTCATAAGGGAGCCCCCCTCACGCAAGGCCTCAGGTTCATCTCTGCACTCACCTGCAGACATCTGTGAGCTTCTGGCAGCTTTACTGGGGAGGGAAGGACCAGCTCCAGAGGTTCTCCTGTGGTAGAGCTCACCCCAAAACCATGGATGTGTTCTGACAACCAGAGTTTCTAGGACCCAGGGCCCACCTGAGCACCATGGCCAGTGAGAGCAGTGTTCCTGGTCAGCATTTCATCCTCAAGGAGGAGGAACAGGAAGACTGAGCACAGGCCTTGTCACCACCCTCCTAACTTAATATCATAAAATAAAAGCAAACAAAATTTTAAGCTATGAAACATTTCCGAAAATGTACTGTATTAGTTTCCCATTGCTGCTATACCAAGTTACCAAAATTTAGTGACTTAAAACAATATAGATTTGTTCTTTTAGGTCAGAAGTCTAAAATCAGGGTGTTGGCAGGGCTGTGTTCTTTCTGGAGCCTTCAGTGAAGACTCCGTTTCCTTGCCTTTTCCAGCTTCAAGGGGCTGTCTGCATTCCTTGGCTTGCGGCCCCTTCTCCATTGCTCTGACCTCCACTGCCATTGTCACATCTCCTCCAACTCCGACCCTCCTGCTTCCCCCTTATAAGGATCCTTATGATTACATTGGGCCCACTCAGGTAATTCAGGATAATCTCCTCATTTCAAGATCCTAAAATTAATCATATCTGCAAAGTCCCTTTTACCGCACAAGGTCGCATACTCATAGGTCCTGGGGATTAGGATGGATATTTTGGGGGGCCACTATTCAGCCCACAGGATAAAGTATAATATGAATAGTGATCTGTGTCAACCACCAACAATAAACAGATGCTAAGAATTTACCTATTTTCTTCAGATTTTTTTTTTTTTAAGAAATAAAGCTTTATGGAAATAGCTAAAGCCCTATGTCACTTTTCCTCCTCTGTCTCTCCTCAGAGGTAGCCATTCCCCTGAGGTTGGTGAAAATAACCCCCATGTATGATTCTGTTCTTTGCTACATATTATTAATGCATTTCTAACAGAGCAGTAGTAGTTTGTGTGTGTGTGCGTGCTTTATGTTAAAGGAAACATTGTGTGGACCATTTTGCAAGCTGCTTTTTAAACTCTATGTTTTTGAGATTATACGTGAAGATCCAGCTCATTCGTTTTAACTGCAGTGTAGACTAACTCCCATGAGCAAGTTAGGGTTCACTTTGTCCTTTCTTTTGCTGAGACAGATTGTTTCCACTTTTTTTTTGCTATTACAAATTGTGCTTCAATAAATATCTTCGTACTTATTTTCTGGAACACCTGTGCCAAGGACCTCCGTGGGAGACAGGCTGCCACCGGGTCACTGGGTCTGGGGTACACACGCCTTGCGTTATACTAAGTATCGCCATGTGGTCCCAAGTACCTCCCAGGAACTGTGTTGAAAAGGACCCGTTTCCCCTACAGCGCCACTGGCATCTGGTATTTTCAGATTTACTATTTGTTACAAATGATTTTCCTCATATATTTTTCAGTCAATCTATCCTGCTCCCAGTTTTCCCTTGATGTTTATGCAGCTGGGATCTTTCTTTCGTCTTGACCTTGAATGACAGATCCACCCAGGACCTCTGTGCTCTGTGTGGCACCACGTCCCCAGATTCCATGAAGCCCCCCACTGCCGTGCTGAGTTCATTTGTGCCAGCCCGAGAGGAGCTTCCCCCGCATGGATGGTCCTGGAGCTCCCTGCTCTCCCCACAGAAAGCCCCGCAGTGTGCGGGGTCCTCTCGCTGGGAGGGGTGGAGTCTTCAGTGTCACTGCCCCTCAGCCAGAGTGACGGAGGCACGCCTCTAGAATTACTCAGTCCTGAACTCCAAAGAATAAATGGTTGCACTTCTTCTGTCCCCAGGGATGTTCTGAAACATATACCTGATGAACTAGAAACCATTTCCTGAACAGGCAGGATGGAGGAATACAACCAAAGACCACAAGCCTCATTTCTCAATCAGTCTGGGGCTTGGGGCCACTATATCCCCTTCCGTTCTAGATGTTTAAACCCTTCCCCCTTTTGAGGTAGACGGATTAACTCCTTTTTGAGGTTTCTCAGCTATCTAGTTCTGACCCGATAGTTTTTCGAACTCTGCATATACCCATTTTGTATATTCTCCTAAGTCCATTAGTGACGGCTGTGGCCAAGAAAGGATGGGGCCTAGAGGATTGCTTCCTGAGGTAGGGATCGGCCACCTGCTTCGAGGGGACCCCGGGCGCTGTTGGCAGAGTCACCTATAACCTCTGGCTGTAGAACAGTGGCTGATGGGCTGCATCTAGGGGTCTTCACACTTGCACGTCTTAGCCTTTGGAATGAATCCCTTGCTCGGTCCTGGGCATGAGAGGACCGAGCAGCTATCATTTTCCCATAAACGAATGGTCTGTGGTCCTAATGCTGGATTGTGCCCCCTCATCTGTTCCCAGGATTGAGACAGGGAGATGAAGGCTTCACAGTGGCTAGTATAACAGGAGGCCCCTGTGCGTCTTATAGGTCACTTTCTGTCAAAGTAGGGATCTAAGTAGAGATCCCCAAACCCCCAGGCTGCAGATCGGTACCAGTCCGTGGCCTATTAGGAACCAGGTCACACAGCAGGAGGTGAGCAGCGGGCCAGAGAGCCGAAGCTTCATCCATATTTGCAGCTGCTCCCCAGAGCTGGCATCACCGCCTCAGCTCCACCTCAGATTGTCAGGAGTTAGATTCTCCTAGAAGCACCAGTCTTTGGTGCCAAAAAAGGTTGAAGACCACTGCTCTAAGGAGTATGCAAAACTCCATTTCAACTATGAGAAACTATTAGTTTCCTAGAGAATAACACAGACCGACAGAGCCTAGGTGGATACCAGCTCTGATCATCCTTCATCTGATAAAGCCTGCTGGAACCTCGAAATGCCTGATGGAGGCTCCAGGAGGCAGAGTGACAAGCCAACCACAGAGGAAGTCACCCAGAAATCCGGGAAGTTGAAATTCTCTGATCAAGTGCCTGTTTTTGAAACACAAACATTTCCTAACGGAGCTCAGAGGGAGTCCTGGTCAGCCACCAAAGTGGATAATTGGGTGGATGTCAGGGCTGGTTGTCTGTGCTTTGTGAAGAGACCCAGGAAGTTCACAGTCACATGCCTGCATGTGATGTCTCTTATTGGACTCCTCTCTCCAGATTTTGTAGATTCCTGTACTCTCCTCTGGCTGGAAAATCTGATCAGTCATCTGAAATTTTAAAAAGAGCTAGGTAAAGATTTTTTTTCCCCCTGACAGAACAGTTTAAATCCTGTCCTGAATCAAAGGTTCACTTAATTCCTAATTAGTCCATGGGAAATTAAGACATTGTTTCTTCAAGATTTACTCAAATCAAAGTTTTTATTCTTCAAAGATTACATCTCACTAATTAGAGTCTTCAAATCACTTACCTTGTGGTATACCTG